CCCCCTTGCTGAATACATCACCTCCGAGGGGGAGCTGTGCAGGAGCTAAGTTGCAGCCTTGCAGCCCCTCTATTGATGCAGTGTTGCTCTGCAAGCTCCCCTGGTTCCTGCAGGAGGCTTCTGCAGACTTGCCAGATCTCTATGAAAGATGCAGGAGAAACCTTCTGGGACAGATATAAATCAAACTGAATTAGAAGTACAGCTGAAGAGGTAGGCATAGCCTGTCGCCAGCACACTTAGTCACCTCCAGTCTTCTGTTCACTTGGAACATTTCGTAGGCTCTATTGAACAAATGTCAGGATACTCCTCATTTTTAAACAACTTTCCAATTGTGCCACTGCTTGTTTGTGTATATCTGTATGTATTTAGATAGATGGAAACACATACATGCACACATCAATGTTTATTAACTCTCACTGAATACAGCAGCAAAGTTAGTCCTTAAAGAAAAGACATGCCATAAAACTTTTCCATAACATTGTTAATATAAATTTCATATTTAAATTAGATTGAAATTGACATATAAATTCAATGACATAAGATACTTCTGTGTTTCAGAAATTTCCAGACTGACTGTGGATAGCTTAGTGTGATAACAAGACAATCAGCTCTATCACAATGCTCACCGTCTTCCTTTCACATTCATTGCTGGATTTCAAATTAGTAATGCTATCCTGGGGTAATGCTGATGAGAAAGGAGATCCAGCTTCCCTCTTTTCTGTCATTAAATAAAAGTGTGTCCAGCTTGTGTGACGTGCTTGGCAGCAGTGATATTTTAATATTGTTAGGAGCGGGAAATATTTTCCTTGCCAGTAATGAGGTTCAGTGTCAGCTAAAGGTGGTGCCCCACAGGAAGATTTTAAACAAAATTACTATATTCTAATAGAAAAGAGGCTAGAAATATGCTATTTTTGTGAAAGGCGTTCAGCATGGAGTGATCCTGGCTAATGAGGAAGGGACCTGCCAGAGCTATTTTTAGTTCCACCCGCTGGTTTCACTGCTATTCTTATAGCTATGGCTGGCAGTGAAATAGGATGGTGTGTCTGTTCTCATCTAGAAATGGAAGAAGAATGGAAATATGTGCGTGTATAAAGATGAAAAGATAAAAAGAGCAAGAGCTGAAGAAAAAGTGAACTTCCCTATGTAGCTGCAGATGTGACATTCATTTTATCTTTCCTTGGAAGGGTTTTTCTTCTGCAAGGCCACATTTCTTGTCTGATCTAAGGGCTAGCAGTATGCCAGGTGCAGTCTTGGGACTGCAAGTTTTACTTGGAAATTATTACAGTTAAGAGAAACCATTAAATAATTTCCTTTATTGTTTTGGAGACCTAAACCAATACTTCAGCTTTATACTAATGCTTCACTGAAACAGTGAGGCTGAGAGGTATTCACCTTATATATCATCACTTGGGAGAAGGAAAATACATCAATGAATCATATGCAGGATAGTAAAACATAAAAAAAAGTAAACATGGAGTCAGGCAGGGCTCCTTGCTGCTGCTATTGCAAAGCAGCAGCACAGGCTTTTTTCATTAGCAGAAAAGAGGAGAATAGTATATACACAAAGAACACTTTACACAGCCAGCGTGATTATTTGCTATACCTGCTTTGCTTTCTATTTCAGCTGTGACTTTTTTTTCTGTCCTTCCTGGGAGGAACAAGTTTTGGATTTCAGAGTTTCACTAGGGAGATGAAGATTTTATTTCAAGCTCCATTTTATTTGATATGGGTTTCTCCTGACTTTATGAGTGAAATGTGGATGTATAAAGAAGTGACAAGACAGGGAGACATGGGGAACCTGGACTTCAGGAACTCCAGAATCAGAATCCAATAAAAGTTGACTTAAAAACTTACAGAAAGAATAAATGAAAAGATGAAAACTTGCTCAGTAGGTTGATTGGGTTTTCTTGTTTTTTTTTTTAATTAAGATTCATGAGTTGGGGGGGCGGTGATTCAAATAACTATTTTATAATGATAATTTAATTTTTTCTGTAAGGATGGTCTTATGCTTAAGACTAGAACTAAGACCAGAATTTGAAGGTTCAGTTGCCATCAAGAGTTTGACTGCACTCTGGATCCTCTGATGATGGTAGTTACCCTGCTGATCTCAAAGGGACATCACTGAGAGCTACTTGCTTCTACATCCTCTTGTAGCTGCCCCTAAATTGCTCAGCTGTGCATTTTGCAGTGACAGTAGGGGGCTTTTCCCCCCTTCAAACCAACCTAAAGCTTTGTTTTAACCATGCACAAGCCATGAAAGAAGCAATGATGGGGTTTGCTGGACCAGAGCTCCTGGTCTGCATGAGCAGTTTCTGCATCTGTTTGCACCAGGTTTGCTGTTGACCAGAAATGTGATTTGCTGCATCATATTGAGGACAGTGCTCTGTGCTTGTGTAGTGGTGTGATGTGGAACATGTCAGCCTGCTGCAGGGTATGTGTGAGGAAACCAAAGGGCAAGTACACTTCCATAAATTATATGCTTTTGCTGTGGAAGAAATGCCAGACAGGTGAGGAATTGAACAGGAAAAAAATAATTCAAAAGTTTTTTTATGGAGTAATATATCTTGTCATCCCGTGATCTGCATGTAAAAAGAAAAAAAAGATTCAAACTTTTGTTGTTTTCTTAATTTCTACCTTCTTTAAAATATGTGGATGAATCATACTTTAGAATTAAAAGAACAAACCTCATTTAAAACCTTACTGCAGTCGCTCACAAAAGCCCTAAAACCAGCTAGAGATGGGGCTGAAAGATGTGTGAGAGCACCCAAGATGGAGGTTTGAATTATGAGCTTTGTGTGGCATTTGCCACTGTTGTACTGTGAGAGCACAGTTAAATCATCTTCTACTACTATTTCTGAACTCAGGTACAAACTGTGACCTGATCTGGTGGACAAAGACATTCAACAACAGCTTTATCAATTTTTAGTTGTTTATTAACCATATTAGTCCATCATTACCCCATTTCTAATTGTGTGAATTGGATGATTTTTTTTTTTAGAGGGGCAAAAGGAGCTGAGTTTTCTTTGGTAACTTTGACCAGGCTGAGGGCTCTTTTGTGTCTCTCTAATGTTGCTTGTCTTCACCCTTCTGTGCGTGCTCTGACCTCTCTTAGTGTGCTTGTAGGGTGTCCCCAGCATGGCTGGCTGGCTGGCTGGAGATTGCCCTGGAAATGTTTGCTGAGGACCTTCTGGCAAAGACTGGAAGGAGGTTGTGTTTCTCCTCTAGGGATGGCACATAGCTACACCATCCTCCCAGGGTCCTCAGAGGTCCTAATCTTTGCAGCCTTTTTGCATGGCACAGAGGGAGGTGGGGACCCAACATGCTGCAGAGGGAAATCCCAGCTCCAAGCCATAGTCCTGAGGAGCTTCACTGGAAAAAGCCAAGACAGGTGGGAGGGATTGAGGTGATCATAAAGCATGTGCACAATGAAGAGAGATACTAGGTTAAACTAAATTATATGTGTGGATCTCAGCAGGGTTTGACCTTCTCACCATTTATCGCTGTTAAAGAGAGGCAGTTCAAAGCAGGACCAAACACAGACTTTCACATGCCAAGAGAACTGTATTGACAGCTCCACAAAGCTCCAGGCTGGCGTGGGAGCCTAGCTAGGGTAGAGTATGTTGTGCCTTCCCTGCCTTGTTCTGAGAGATCTCTGTTTCGGGCACCAAATAGCAGGAGTTATATTTTCATATGATATCACTTCTGTAGAAGAAGCGAGTTATTCATGAGCAGTAGCATCTTCACATCACATAGAACTGCAGACATGGTTGAGAAAACAACTGTTTAATTGAAGTAGAAATGACACTGGGAAATTAAAAGAGGCTGCAAAAACCTCCCAAGTAGTTATTACTCACTCAAAGCAAATCCTAGCTAGACATGTAAGGCATGGGATGCATACAAAGTTCTGGGAGAAACAGAATTTATGGGTAGACATACCTCTGCCCTCAAGACATGTGTTGTTTCTTCAGCTGGTCCCCCAAACTCTCTTTAAATAAATAGTTTGGGATAACTTTTCTCTGATTCTCTGGAGTACGGAGCATGCTGCAAGGGACAAAAACCCACACCTGACAGACTGGTGACTCAAAATATAGAAGCTACTGCCTGTCCCTCTGGTGGGATTCCTGCAAAGACAACCTGCCTCTACAGTGGGTCCATCGGGTGATTCTTCTGACATTAACACCGCTGGGCACAGGGTGTGATGGTGCCACGGGCACTGTGCCTGCACAGGGATGCTGTCTCTGCCCGGGCTGTCACTGCCCAGGCTCCTGCCTGTGCAGACCATGTCAGAGCCGGGTCTGAGAGGCTCCGGAGAGCTCCGCGAGGAAGGACAGCCATAGTCAAGTATTTTTGTCCTCGGTTCTGCTTATCCTGAATCAGTTCTCCCAGCTTCTTTCTGTGATTTCTTTCCTTCTGTAGCAGCTGTCTGGGATTTCAGCTGTTCTGCATGAGCAGAGGTGCCAGCACCCTTTTTAAATCACTACAGAAAAGTAAGGGTGCATTTTCTATTGTGCGAGAAAGAAGAAAGGACAAAGTTTGGGGGTCGATTGGGTTTTTTTGGTTTTTTTGGGTTTTTTTGTTTTCCCCTTGTGCTTTCCAAGTGCTTGTCAGAGATAACTAGAGGAGGTCTGGAAGTTATTCACAAATTAATTAGCCTCTGAAACGCCAGAACTGGCAGCCACGGCAGCTCAGCCTGGAGCAGCCGCATCCCTGCAGCAATCAGTTCATATTCCCGTTGCTCTCCGGGGGAACGTTAAGGGTTAATTCAGTAGCTGTGCATTTCATAGCACAATTTAAAGGGGAAAAAATGACACCCTTCTCCCCTGCCTTGCTGGTTGCGGATGGTTCGCTCTGCCTGGCTGATCACATGCTCCCGAGCCCCCGGTGCTGCAGCAGCCCCAGCTGCTGCTGCTGATGGGTCGGTGCTGCCCGGGACGCCCCCGGCCCCCGCCTGCCCATGCCCGGCAGCCCTCACCTCCGCTTTAAGGGAGGGAGGGCGCAGGATGAGCCCTTGAGCATATGGGTGGAAATTTGGGAGGTACCCATTCTCTCACAACCGTTTCCAGCTCTAACCATGTCTATTTGTTGTTGCCTTTTTTTCAGGGACTATGGATCTTCAAAGAGAAAATCAGGTAAGATACCAGCCTTTTTTTTTTTTAATATATATGTACTGCATGATTATAGAGAAGACCTTGCCCCCTGCTTTCCCCTGTTAAACCTTCCATTTATTTTGTGTGGCATGAAATTGTATAGCAGTTTAACTTTTTATTACTGAATTCTGCTGGAGATAAGCATCAGGTTTTTTTCTTTTGCTGGAGAGAAGAAATCCACCTTATATAGTATTGCAGTTAAAATGACTGCTCTTCTCTGGTTATATTTATATAGCTCTGTCTCAAATCTGAAAGGATAATTGTATTAAATTTCTTTCTCTTTCATTACAAATGGTCAAAATGCAGGCTCAGAGTTGGGGTTCTTTTCTGGAGGGGAAGGGAATCCTTTTCTGTTCTGGTTTGAATCTTTTATTTTGCCTTTCCAAGAGGCTCTGGTGAGGCTTCTGATGCAAAATGTTCTCAGTGTCTATGCCTGGATTTGGGTTGCCTCAAAGGCTCTAGCTCAGTGTTTTGCTTTTTAAAATCCTGGATTGAAATGTCCTATGAAACTCTGATTTGAAACTATATAAATCTAATTTTTCCCCTTCCCATGTAGCTCTTAGTGATTTTTACAGATGTGTTTTCAATAGGGATGTGTAATTATGGGCCTCTGGGTTTGGCTGCTCTGAGCTGGATGTGTCAGGGCTTTCTATTTTTTTGTTTTTTGATTTTTTTTCTCCAAGCAGCATTGAGCACCTGCAACTCTCATTGACTTTGTTTGGAATCTTGGATGCTCCAAACTGCATTCAGGGAGAGGCCTTTCAAACCAACAGCAACTCCTGGAAAACTCTGACATGTGTGCAGGGGAGGGGAGGATTTTTTGATTCTTGCTTTTTAAGATGATAAAGAAACACTGCACTGGCTTAGTGTCTGGGAAGGAAGGGAAGATGAATGTAATGCACTGGACTGCAATGAAGATCACTGCATAGATTGATTTGTTGGTTAATTATTAGGGCTTTTAAGCTGTCATCCTGTAATAAGCTAAGTGATACACTTAAGTGAAGCTTTTAGTTAACCCTGATGGCCTCTGCATCAAATGGCAGTTTCCTTTGCAGGCCAATACTTTTAGTACCTTTCCCTGAATGTCTCTGCAATGGGTTGTCATAATGAAGAGGCAAGTGTGGTACAAGGTGCTGGTCCAACACAATAAACTAGGGCATGCTTTGTCTTCCTAATCTTCTAAAAAATTTCTATCTGGGTTGCACTTCTAGGACCTCCTAAATGTAATGTAAAAGTGTGTTTTTACAACAGCCTATGAATTAAGCAGCAGTGCTTTCTCCAAAGAGGTTGACCATAAATGCAAAGGTCCAAGTAACTTGGTGGAAGGCAGAGCTGAGGGTGGGAGTTCCTGGCTCAGTGCCATATCCTGAGCACTGGTGGCTTTTGGGCCATGTAAAGCCCATTGAAAAACATTGCTGAAGTCTTTGGAACAACCTGATTTAGCACTGACGAGAACAGCATTAGGAGACCAGGAGAGCTTTGGGCTCATTGCACCAGTTGACATGACAGAGTATTGCAACTCATGTGCAAGAGATGCAAGGAACTGCTTGGGGAGTGGAAGGAAACTTCTGCATTTCCATTCCTGTGGCTCTGGCAGCAAGTTGGAGATGATTTGCCACAACACTGTGAAAAGAGCAATTAAGTTGAGTCAGTGTAGCTGAGATGCCACTTGTGGATGCTGGACTTTTTGGCCCCCTGACCTGAGCATCCCGAGTGACACGTTTGTCTATCCCTGTGAGGGACAGTCTGGTCAGCCTCCCTCCTTTGCCATATCTCCTTCTGGGACTGTTTCCTCTTCTCTGCTTCTTGGTGCTGGGCTGCTTGCACAGCTAAGGCTTGGAAAAAGTGGGGCTTAGGGATGCTTTTTCTCCACTTCCCCTGTACAAAGAGGAATGCAAAGCAGCTCTCTGAACAAAGTGAACTGCATAAAGGGACTCTGTTCTTGGCCATCTTCTTGCTTGATTTTAGAGTGGCAGAGGAATGCTTCCTTCTGTTTGGAGCTGGATACTGTGGGAGTGTGTACACAATGAGCGAAGGAATATGCCAAGGGAGTTGGCAATTACAGCCTCTAACAAAGACCAGCTTTATGACACTTGAACAAGTGATGGGGTAAATAAGCACAGATTTTCAGGATTGCTGTGAGGGTCTTTTAAGACAAAAATTAGCTTTGAAATGTAGTTTCCTCTGTGGGTGCAGACACTACTCCATCTTTAAGTGAAAGACAAATCTGCACTTTTAAATGCAAGCAACAAATGGGACCTGTGAACACATCTTCTGTCTTGACCAAAGATGTGCTGGAAGGAGGATTTTGGGTGTGAGCACAGCTGTCCCACTGTCCAGCAGGAATCCCACAGCTGCTGTGTCTCAGGCATGTGCAGGCACGACACGAGCATGGCCAATTGCAGAAACATGTGGAGAATGCCTCTAACAGCCAGCGTCACCTCTACTCTGACCTCTGCCTTGCCAGAGTGAGTGTCTAGCTAGTCCTATGCTTCCCCTTAGAGAAGGGAGAAACTGGATAAGTTCAGAGTTTAACAGGAGTTATGGAAACATTTATTGCTGCAGCTAATACTGGTTGTAAACATTTGAGACCTCCTGAACCAAATGCAACAGCATGGCACATCCTTAGCTAAACAAAAGGGGGTCTTGCGCTGATCTGGGGCATCTTTGCATGCCAGCCCTGAGCCAGGCTTCCTCTTGTGCAAAGTGCTATGTAAACACACAGCCCTTTGCTTGGATGTGATCTAATCATAAATGCTTTAACCTGCAGTCAGCTTGAAGGCCTGGAGCTTCAATGGAAGCAACTGAGGCTCTGAAATCACAGGCGTTTGTGGTGGCCTGAACTGCAGTGTGTGTTGATGTGCTGAGGCCTTAAATCTGTGGGGCTTTATTTGACACGCTGTGGAGATGCTTCCAAAAGCTCCCTTCATGTTTCCAGGCAATTGAATTGTTGCTCTATGACCATCTGTCAGTGCTGAAGAGCCCTCAGCACAACTGTGAGGAGTGGTTACCATGGGCATATTCTGTATGCTCACAAGAAGTAGTCTCATCTTGGTCCATCCAAAGACCCTCTGTAGTAAAACCAGAAGGTATTACTTTTCAGACTCCAATTTGTTGATCCCATAAGCCAAGTGAACAGCTACTCATTTGTCACTCAAAATAGACATTATTCTATGCCAGCATCCATTGTGTGGTTTTTCTGTCCTCAAATCAAAATAAGGGTAGAATTGCTGCAAGTCTGATAATGGATATTTGCATGGTACATTACAAACCACAAATTAGGTTAATCCACTCTGCAAACCCTACCAGCTACCATCTGTGCATGGTGGACTAATTAACCCTTGAGATATCTGCTAATCCTGGTGTGGCTTGTAAAACTAATTGGAGTATGTTTATTCCCAAAGATGTCATTTTGTCCCCCACATACGCCTTGCTGGCTAGAGCAAGCTACAGACTCCTGGAGTTAAGATCATCTTGCCCTCTTGCCTTGCTGAGAATTTTTCTTGGCTGATTTTGTACTGTGTCACTTCCCAGTTATGAAGCTGAAGCAAACATCCGGGACCTGGTGTTTGGTGGCAATGGGGAGTCAATATGGGCTTTACGAGTCTCAGTGCTTCTCAACCATTGAGAGGATTCACTTTGCTAACTGTGGGGTCAGACCCAGCAGGAGAGATGCTACCTCACCATGGCTTTCAAAGCAATGGTGTGGATCCTTGTCACCTGCCTGGTAAGCGACCAAGTCCTTGTGCTTACTACTTTGAGTGTGCACTAGCAGAAGCACTGCTGGCCATCCCCTTCTGAAATCATAATGAAACCCCCACTGCTGACAGCCCAGCTTGCTGCTGGGGGCACAACTGGCTTCAAGCCACTGCTCAGCAGCTTTCTCTGGCACCTTGTTGCGATGTGGTAGAATGCTCCTCCAGCTGAGGAGGAATAAGTCTTTAAAAAAATAGAAGTTATGGCTCCTTCAGTATGCAATGTCTCCTTTCCCTCATTGTTCAGTTCCTGTCTGTGTCAAGTTGGCTGAGCTTTGGCTGACTCAGACAGCTGAAGTCTCTTTAAACAGCCCCTGTAATTGAGCACTTAGAATATTAACTTAACAACTTGGTCCAAGCCAATGTTACCTCAGTGAGGATGCTGATGAGACTTCCCTGCACGAGTGGACCATCTTTCAGCTGGGTTCCCATGTCCAGTTTTTGGGCTAGTAAGATTATGGCTACACACAGACAACAATCACTGCTTTCTTTCCCTCCTGTAATCTAAAACTAGGAAGGATGTATCCACTGGCAAGTAAATAAAAACTTCAGAGTCTGTTGGAAGCTACTTCATGAACTTTTTATAGAAACATCTGTAATGCTCTCTTTTCCCTCAATGGGGAAATTACTAAGTAGAGTTGAGAGAGTTGCAGCACTGACAGAAGCAGGGCCTCAAGTGAGAAACAAGCAGATCATGGTAACAACACCACGGGCCCTTGTGGCTGATCACTTTGTGGGATGCTGCTTTGGGATTATGGGTGGAGCTGATGGCAAAAGTTGTTTCTTCTTTACTAAGAAAACCATCTTCCTTACTCTCGCGCTGGGGATGTGTATTCTGTCAGCCTCAGGGAGTTGCCTTATGCTACTTTGTTATTAGGGATAGTTTTTTCTTCTTCCTTTGTAATTACAGAGGGAAATGGCTCAACTTTTGGCTTTTTCTGCCTTTACAAGCTGAGCTATACTCATTACTTCACAGTTTAACCTTTCTGGTCCTGTCACATTGCACGTGCCTAGCTTGCACTTACAGCTCCATGGCAAGTCTCGCTTTTTTGTTTTTTTATAAATGAGCTTTATTTTCTTAACTTAGTTTGAACTACCTCCTTTAAAATTGCTAGCCCTTCTGTGCTTAATCATTCAACAGGGTCACAAATGTGTGAGCCACTAGCTGGATTGGTAGGGCCGTATGGCTGGAACTGTCTTTACCTATTGCAGGACTGAGGTGCCAAC